GACATTCTTATTCTTATTCTAACTGCACACTTCGCTGGAATGCGACGCTCCCTCCAACTTGTCCGCTCACCTTACCGTTCGCCCCGTCTGTCAGAGCGTCGATGTGACGTCACGGCCGCCCAGTTAACTCGAACGGGTTGTATTACGTTTTGCCATCAATTACATTTACAAATTGTACAGGATTTTCTAATACAGCGTTTGACGCATTTCTTTCAGTTGTGATATAAGTTTCTATTTTTTCAATCCCAGGTAATCTCTACTGATAATTAGTTTATTAGATGATGAGTCGCCACTATTGCAGCAATCCCAGTATCTCGTAGGTAGATGATTCATAAAAAGATCCGATAACTGAGTCAAACGAAGTTAGTCTCTCTTTCTCATGTTTATCTATCGAATCGTACTATCGTAAGGTTGTAAACCTTGGCAGTTCTTGCGAGACTCACCCGTGATCTTCGTCCGGCTATCGGGCGAGAGCCGGGCGCCGTCCTTGGTCCAGTAGACCTCAGGTAGCGGGTACCCGTCCACGTCGCACGGCAGGCTCAGCTCGGAGCCCAGCGCCTGCGTCGACGCCTCGAGCGGGATGCTCGTGTTGACCGGCACTGCGGGGTGGAGAGAGTTAGATTGGGGTTGGACGTGGAAAAACGACATGGAAAGCTATGTACAGCCAAGGTTGAATAATAAAAGTAAAATGTAAAAAATTACGCAACGGCAATGATCTGAAAAATACAATACAAATAATAACAACATATAAACATAATAAAATAAAAATAAATAATGAATACACATTAAACACATAAAACACATAAAACAATTAAACTTAACGAAACACGTAGTTTAAGTATTGTCTATTTAAAACACAAACTCAAATTAATTTTAAGATTATAAACATTATTCTTTTACATTTATTTATCACAATTTAATAGCACAGTTCTATTAAAATAATTGAGTAATTCGGTATAATTTAATTAAATTGGCAGCGATTTTCGAGCCTAAAAATATAAAACATAACTATCTGAAAGAAAACATATAAAATAATAACATATAATAACTTTGAACCTTCGATACCTGTTTAGGGTTAGACTTGTTTATTTTTATTGTAATGTAAACTACAAGATAACATGCGAAGAACACAAATCATGCAACATGCAACGAGCATTATGACGCGCGCTGGGCTCGGGAGACAAACGCTATCGACATAGTGGCCGATAAATATTTATCTTCCGAGTCGGGTCTTATCGGTTTTTTCTCACAAATTCCTCATTCCAAAATTATTACATTGCAAGATCATGGAACTGCTGATAAGATTACGTAACAGGAAATGAGAATTTGTGACAAATGTGAATGTTAACTTGTTTTTTGTTTCAACCAGCACGTCATGGGTCACGTACGGCACATCAAGCTATAGTTCCAAAATACTGAACTGTCCTATCCATGACATTGACAGTGGGGCGCCACCGTTAATACAGGATCACTGGTTCCGATTTTTGCCATGTTGGAAACCATTTAGTTGAACGATGGTAGCGCCCCCCTGTCATTGAGTTTGGTGGGACAAATCCCACCACCACCCATGGCCATACCAACCTCGCGGTTATTGTGGCCGAATCTTGAGAGATGCGCGCGGAATTTGCGGCTGCCTACGGCAGATTGCACTCCACCGCGCGCAATTCTTGACTCTCTACAAGTTCTTTAATCTTTGTCCATTTGTCCCTTGCCACTCTCCCCCTTCTGGGGCATGGACTCCACTATCACGTTGGCACCATCCGGTACCTGGCCGCTAGGCGTCTGTCCGTTCCGCCTCCGATGCCACGCGTGCGCGAAACCTCGCAGCCGCGCGAAGTTCGCCTCCGAGCTGACNGTCTAACTACTTAATTCAGCTTGCAAAATTCCACCCGAACAAACATACTTTACACACAACATACATTGTAAGCTAAATAAAATAAAATAAAAAATATTATCCCATACAAAATGTTCATGTATTTGTAATTTTTGTTAAATATAAATACCTTACTATACGGTGCGCTAGTTTAGAACATTTCGGGCGATCACTTGCGCCTGGGTTGAATGACATCGACATCAAGGTTCATCAATTCAAGTTTAAAATAATAGGCAGTAATGTATGAAGAAAGAGCTTCTATTCTGTACCTACCTATGCCCGTGTATTTTTGATCGGTGTCAAATCGGAGTTTTCGTGCGGGGTGCGCGGGTGTTGTGCGAAGCGTGAAGGTCAAACGCTCAAGGTCATTGAGGACTCTAATCGCCTTAAAGCAATAAAAATAAGCTATGCATAACCCGTGCGCAAAAATGCTGTAGACAGGTTGTAATAGGATAGGAAATTATGTATGTTTTGCCAACAATTTGATTTACAAATTCCACTGGGGTTTCTCATACAGCATTTGGTGTTATTACTGATATTTGTTTCAGTTGTGATACAATTTGTACTTTATGGACAAATGGTGACCAGAACTAAATTCAACTTCGAGTTGGTTGTGATTGGGTGATTTCAATGTTTACATTAAACCTATATTTTTATTATATTATATTAGAGCGTTATTTTCTACTGATATTATCTAATTAATTCGATTTTGAATCGCTACTATTGCAAAGCTCGCTTCCACCTACGGCCTGGTCATCACTTACCATCAGGTGAGATACGGGCCAAGAGCTTCCTTGTTGTGTATAAAAAAATGCAATTAAGTATCTCGTAGGTAGATGATTCATAACGATTCGATAACTAAGTTATTAGTTGCTCTTTCTCATTTATGTTTTTTTATCGAGTCGTACTATCGTAAGGTTGTAAACCTTGGCAGTTCTTGCGAGACTTACCCGTGATCTTCGTCCGGCTATCGGGCGAGAGCCGGGCGCCGTCCTTGGTCCAGTAGACCTCAGGTAGCGGGTACCCGTCCACGTCGCACGGCAGGCTCAGCTCGGAGCCCAGCGCCATCGTCGACGCCTCGAGCGGGATGCTCGTGTTGACCGGCACTGCGGGGTGGAGAGAGTTAGATTGGGGTTGGACGTGGAACAACGACATGGAAAGCTATGTACAGCCAAGGTTGAATAATAAAAGTAAAATGTAAAAAATTACGCAACGGCAATGATCTGAAAAATACAATACAAATAATAACAACATATAAACATAATAAAATAAAAATAAATTATGAATACACATTAAACACATAAAACAATGAAACTTAACGAAACACATAGTTTAATTAACTATTGTCTATTCAAAACACAAACTCATTTTAATTTGTTCAATATAAAAATATTTTAACTTTAAGATTATAATCTTTTACATCACAATTCAATAGCACAGTTCTATTAAAAACAATAATTGAGTAGGTATTCCGTATAATAATCCGTATAATTTAATTAAATTGGCAGCGTTTTTCGTGCCTAAAAATATAATTATCTGCAAGAAAGAAAATACATAAAATGATAATACTGAACCTTCGATACCTGTTTAGGGTTAGACTTTATCATTCTACTATAATGTTAAACTACAAGATATCATGCGAAGAACACAAATCATGCAGCATGCAACGAGCATTATGACGCGCGCTGGGCTCGGCAGACAAACGCTAACGACATAGTGGCCGATAAATATTTATCTTCCGAGTCGGGTCTTATCGGTTTTTTCTCACAAATTCCTCATTCCAAAATTATTACATTGCAAGATCATGGAACTGCAGATAAGATTACGTAACAGGAAATGAGAATTTGTGACAAATGTGAATGTTAACTTGTTTTTTGTTTCGACCAGCACGTCATAGGTCACGTAATAGGCACCGCACATCAAGCTAAACACTGACATATGATTTTGCAACAATGAGGGTTTTCGCGTATGAAAGATCCGCTAGATAGCGAGACGTGGATGTGGGATCTGACTGCTGTGTGATTGGTGGATTTTGACATGTCTGTCAATGTCAATGTCATGCAGCATTTGGACCTCGCGTCTACGTATTGGCGTATTCTACTGGCGGATTTTTAATACGCGAAAACCCTCATTGTAAAGTCTGATGTGGCGACGAACCTACCACAGTCGAAAGAAAAAAGCAAGTTAACACCACCGCGCCAGTCTTACCAGTGTAGACAGGCATATCGATCTCCGGCGGGGGCGTGGTCTGCGTGGTGGGCGCGGGCGGGCGCGCGGGCGTGATGGCCACGGTGCGCTCGCGCGGCACCAGCAGCGCGTGCGCGGCGCCGGGCGCGGGCTCGTAGGCGCGCACCTGCACGGCCCAGAAGGCCGCCTTGCCCTGCCCGTTGAAGGCCTGGCACGCGTACTCGCCCAGCGTGTCCAGCTCCAGCCGCCGGATCTGCAGCACGTTCTCGCGCGCCTCGTACAGCTCGCTGCTGTAGGGCAGCATGTCGCGGCCGCGGTACCAGTAGATGGCGGGCGCCGGGTGCCCGTAGGCCAGGCAGCGCACGTTCAGGCTGCGGCCCAGCTCGCCCACCACCACCGCGTTCGGCTCGCCCGAGATGCCCGCCGGCGTCACCTCCGGATCTAACCACTCCCACTGTTAGTGACTACTCTACTGGGGCGTGTGAATCGGTGACGAATTCACAGACCCGCTGTTAAGTTAGGTATCTACTGAGCAAGAATGGAAGGACAGTACGATGGTGATGTTCCGGGAATTCCCGGTCGGTGAATTCGTTCAGATCGCAGATAAAAGATAAATACGACGCTTTGTTGTTACTTGTTTAAAATAATTATTTAACTGAAAATATTTAAGCTTATCGACTGAACGAATTCCCAGAAGTCCCAAAACAATGTTAGAAAACCGTTAGTAAATCACAGTGTCCCTTAACCTTCTGCGTTCACGCAGGCCATCACCAGCGCGAGCGCCGCCGACAAAAACACGCGAGCCATGCTGTTCTTCACTCACGGACAAAGTTACCGTTATCGCAATAACAGGGGTTATGCTTATTTTAACGCACTAGCCGACCGTGCGATCCACGGTGGTCCGCGATACTGCGGGGCAGTTAAACGCTAACTGTGCTAATGGCGATAGATAAACGACTGTTGACTGCGAAAGATTGCGGAACGCTATCTAGGGTCGGAAGCGAAAGAAAAACTGTCCACTTTTTTCTTTCTTTTTCTCTATTTCATTATAAATACCTATAAAATTAATATAGGTACCTACTTATTTCTAAAATGCGGCTAATAAGACTAGACTAAATAATTATTGTACTTAGTTAAGTTTTTTGATTGCAAGTTAACACCCAGATGCGACCGTCCCACAGTCAGTGGGAGTAATTATGTGGGCTTGGATGTAACCGCCTCATTCAAATGCGGAAGCTCATCAAGCGATCTGCCCAAGTACTTGTGTACCTCCCTATTTACAGCGAGGTCTGCAGGACCTACTTAATTAATGTCAGTCTATTATTATCTGCAGAGTTGAGAGGTCACTGCCGCAGATTTGTTTACGTCGCTAGACAAACGGGACGCTGTCTGATTACACCTAGTTGATATACAAAACGAGTGAATAAACGCAGAGGACAGTTCTTAGATGGAAATTCATTCAAATTGACAAAGTATCGTCTTCATAGGATCGGTGAACCAGGCTCTGGTATGGTATCCACAGAGTCCACATCACTTGAACTTTATGCTGTGAAGATACGGTTGAAAACCAATGACTATTTTTTTGCCTGGTTAAGGGTTAAACGCGCGACATGTGTTGGTCTGTTATCTTATTTTGTGTATCGTCAATAAGTTGTAATTAACATTGCAGTTCAGATTTAATTAGCACGTGATTGCTGATCGATGACACACACGTTTTAGTTTATTACCTACTTGATCTGCATGAACATGCATTAAGTATGTAAGTGTGAACTGGTGAAAAGTAACGAAATTAATTTCTTAACCAATAATATTAATGGAACAGTTTGTCGGTGGCGCTCAAGTCAAGAAAGTGAAAGGTAAAGAAAATTAGGGAAAAAGAAGAAAGATAGTAATAAGTAAGTAGTTGTCATTATCTAAAAATACCACTACTTCTACTCCAAGCAAATCATTCTACTTTGTCAAAAATGCAGCAAACATGGGTAGCATTCGAACTAACTACTTTTATTAATGCAAATCAAACTAAAAATCAAGAATGCATCAAGAAAACTTACGGATTTCAAGTCTTATGACTTGAAAAACTTCAAGACTGTTGAGTAGGACGTACTTCAGCCGTGACTTGAAGGTACTCCGGGACCTGTGTGACTTACCGTTGACCTGGAGCCGGATCTCCTGCTGGGAGACGCCGTGCACATTCTCAGCGACGCAGATGTAGACTCCCGAGTCGTTGCGGTACAGCGACACGATCTCCAGCGCGCCGTCCGACATCAGCCGGTACCGGCCGACATCGCCATCGATCTATGAGGGCAATGAGGTTATCATCTCGACTCAGGGAAATTATGCCCGTTTTCACCATCAATCCCTAATTTTTAAGTGATCCCTATGGTAACACATAACAGGAATTTTGTTTACATAGGGGTCACTTAAAAAATAGGGATTGATGGTGATTAGACTTCGACCCCGCAAACTACAGATTTCTTGTCACGTTTGTGTTTTGCCGATAGTTGGGTCGGGCTTTTAATCAGTACCTACTTATGAACACATTATGAATGAACGCACAATAGACCGATTTGGTATCGGTCGATTCCTTATACAAATTGGAAGGTGACCAAACTATCGGCCGATTAAAGGCGGGGAGCTGTAGTCTGCGGGGAGTCTTACACCACAGTCACAGATCAGCATTAAGTTTTTTATTAACACGTGGGTGCAAACTGCAACAAGATAATGAGCCATTTAATTGCTTCATAAACTCATTGATGTTTTGGTAGTAAAATGTTTTACGAATCTCGTGGATATCGTTTTTGCCTTGAACTTAAGCGGTCGGTGCTATCGCGTACCTACTAATCTAAATATTTAAATGTATTTTTTATGCAATGAGCATGTCTGTTTATTAATTCGGTTCCCGTTTGTTTGAAGCATTCATTGAAGGTTTATAGTTCGTTCGTTCGTTTCAGCCAAATGACGTCCACTGCTGGACAAAGGCCTCCTCCAAGGTTTTCCACAATGCTTGGTCCTTTATAGTAAAGGAAATAAAATAAAATGGCAAGCTGGCAAGAACACGACGTTCTAATTTAAGACGCTAGTGTGAGAGGTCCTTATGTGTCCTGAAAAGGGCCTACAACCTACATACTGCTAGTCTTAAGAATTTACTTAGTTGTGTGTAGGTACAAGTGTACAAGAATGCGGGAGGAATGGCGATGGTTGTGAAACATGCCGCCACCACACCAGATGTGACAACAACTACCACTCTGTCAAGAGTGTCTAAGAAGAAGAAGAGTTGTGTAGCCTATGTAATAATGCTAGCTAGTATACGTACGGTGATCTCTCCGCGGCGCCAGGTGATCTTGGGCGGCGGGTTGCCGTGGAACAGGCAGCGCAGCGTGGCGCGCCCGCCCTCGGCCGCCGTCACCTCGGGCTCCGTCACCGGGTTCGCTTGCGGCGCTTGTGGTAGTTCTGAAAAACATCATTGGTAAGCATTTCCATTTTTAAATCACTGAATTTGGGGTATTCTGCTTTAACAATTATTGAGATAGTTATAACTCTTTTGGTGAAATGAGTTAGCATTTCAACGGTATTGTGTGTGTAGTGTTCTGATATTAACTGTAAGTAATGTACTAAGGTACCTACTAATAAGCCTTGCCTGTAGATGATTTTTGAGCAGCTGAGGTCATAGGATTTCGTCAGCGATTCTTCGTTTGAAATACGTTACCTCATTATCACGGATGGTGCTCCTCGTCTCAACTTTTGAAGATAGGAATCACAGACAGTGGATTCATTGTAAACAATACTTTATCACACTTTGAGCATTCATTAGCTCGTACCTAGTAGTGGGTAAGTGGAGAGGCTTACCTGCTTCGTAAGTGATGGGGCTTACCTGGTGCGTAAGTGGTGGGGCTTACCTGGCGAGTAGGTAGTACTAACAGGCGTGGGACTGGTGGATGTGGCAAGCACGAGGCACAGGCTCGATTCTTGACCGTATGTAGGCTCAGTGCCCTCAACACTTCATACCTGGCGAGTAAATGGTGGTGACGGTCGCCAGGGTTCGTCGAGCCTTCATTATCTCATACCTGGTGCGTACTGACGGCCTATGGGGCAGCAAGGTTCTGGAATGGAGGCCGCGTACCGGAAAACACAGCGTAGGACGTCCACCGGGTGGTGGTGGTGGTAGGTGGACCGACGACCTGATAAAGATAGCGGGAAGGCGCTGGATGCAGGCCGCTACCAACCGTGCGATGTGGAAGTCATTGAGGGAGGCCTATGTTCAGCAGTGGATGTTCTGTGGCTGAAATGATGATGACGATGACCTGGTGCGTAAGTGGTGGGGCTTACCTGGTGAGTAGGTGGTGGTGACGGGCGCGGGGCTGGTAGGAGTAGCAGGCGCGAGGCACAGCTGGCTGCAGCCGCGCGCGCAGCACTTGCCCACGCCGCGGCAGTCGGCATCGTCGTTGCACTCTCGCCGACAGCGACCCTCTACCTCTGACTCCGGAGCCTCCGCCGGGCACTGGCCGGGCTTGTTCACTGTAAGACATTCGAATGTAAGGAATATGTCTCACTTAAACTGACAACGACACGGTGGTGTCAAACCCCAGAAGTTCGAGATTTGTCAAGACAGGGGGCGGACTAGAAAAACTTTGTACCGACACGCTCTTTCAAGATTTGGTTCGTATTCCGTAACCACGGGTAGAAGGAGCATTGTTCCAAAATCAGAAAATCGTCTTCACGTATTTGTAAAAGAAAACTTGCAGAAAGTCACCAGGTGAGTCTCACAGAAGTTTGTTGGTGTTTATTTTTTAATTTACCACCAGATTATCTGAGGCAGCAGTGATGGCAATCAATAGACTGTCCTGTCAATCTCTACCTAAGAGATTTAACAGAATCCCAGGATCACAGCTCAGAAAAGAGCACGAGCTAAAAATTTGGCTACTTACCAACGTGGCAGTCAGCAGTGTACGCGACATCCTGCGTGATGGGGTCCTGGTATGGCGTGGCCACGCAGCGTTCACCGGCCGCACACTCCTTGTTCTCACACGGGTGGTTCGTGCAATTGCATCTGCAAATGAGAGTATTGTATGAGATATATGGTTTAACTGAAGAATGTGTCAGTTGCTTCCTGGTGGATATTAATTAAGTCACAAAATTAGATCTGCTAATTGAGACTTATCGATTTTTATCTGCGTTACTTAAAACTAGAAAAAATCTCACACGCGCATTCTATTTACATTTTTACAAACGCAGCAGTATTATAAAGTGTGTAATGCGTAAGGCTGGCTTCACACATCCAGAGTGGCGTTAGGATCAACGTTGAGTCATCTTCACGTTGGCTTTGATGAGAGATTATATAGAATAACCAGCGTGTGAACGCTTCACGAAATTAACCGTCCAACATTGGTGAACTTTGCCGTCAACATGTGGCAGGTGGTGTACGAATATATAAAGAAAGAGACTGACCTCTCACAGCCATCAGAATCCACAGTACGCGCGATGCCGTAGGGGCACTTGAGCTCGGCGCAGTCTCTGCGCAGCTTCTCGCAGTCCACCTCGACGCGCACGCACGAGCAGCGCTCGCAGCCGTCCACGGTGCGCGTGCGCTGCATGCCGAACTCGCAGCGCAGCGCGCGGCACTCGTCGTTGAAGCGGTCGCAGTCTGGTAGCACTTCGTTGCCGTCCACTGCGTGGGGAGGTCAGAATGAGACATGTGATTGAAAAAGACTGAAGTATGTAGCTTCCTTTTAAAGCCTGACACTACAACCATAAAAGAAGACAATATCGACGTTTATTATAAGTTTTAAGAGACGACTATTTAGAGAGCAGATTGTACTATGTCGTTGAACCATTACTAACATCAAAGAACAAATCCAGAACAGAAATGTACAGATTTTTCAACGCAAATAAGTATTTATATCAAGTGTTTTTTTAACTACTTAGATCTGTTTGGAAAATATATCATATTTTTTCCCCAATAAAGAACAGGTCAAAAGTTGATTATTTCGGATGGTAAAACAATAAATGTGTGATGGTGCAAGAAAGATGCAAGCGTGCGCAAGCGTGCAACAATGAGCCAACGAGAGCGGAAGCCGAGACAATACGAGACGAACCGAATAGCTGGAATCTGGATAAAATAGGACAATACATGACTTTGGAGGAAAGAGTCAATTCTTACAAGAAGTTCCTTTCTGATGAAAGAACGATCTAATGAAGACTTGCAGTTCAACAATTGCACAAATCCCACGAGGTCTTAGGAAGTGGTACTTTTGGGAATGGACTAAGGGAAGGGCCACGACCAACGCCGATCCTAGATCTTGATTAAAGATGATTGTATTTCGGCGCCCTTATTGATGATAACGTTCTCCGGGTTTAGAGCTGTACTTATTTAGATTACGTGATTACTTCGGCGCTCCTTGCAATCTGGCAGTCCTTCGCTCTTCCCCAGGACCGGCACTGGTCAGGACCAGAATTTGGCGAGGTTAGGTTATCATCGAGCGGACGCAAGCGACTCGGAGCAGTACCATCCGTGGTGTTGGTCTGGCAGGCCGCCACGCACTCGCGCGAGGTGCGGAAGTTGTTGCGGCCGCCGCCGCAGCCCAGGTACACGAAGCCGAGGCAGAGCCCCGCGGCCTCGTCGTAGTACCAGCGCCGCGAGGGCGCCGCCCCGCACGCGTGTCCCACCGACACCGGCTCCAGGCACGCCGGCTCTGTCGTCCCGCAACCACCCCGGTTAGTCCCGCATGCTATTAGCCTATCNAATTTGGTTCGTATGCCGTAACCACGTGTGGAAGGAGCATTGTTCCAAAATCAGAAAATCGTCTTCACGTATTTGTAAAAGAAAACTTGCAGAAAGTCACTAGGTGAGTCTCACAGAAGTTTGTTGGTGTTTATTTTTTAATTTACCACCAGATTATCTGAGGCAGCAGTGATGGCAATCAATAGACTATCCTGTCAATCTCTACCTAAGAGATTTAACATAATCCCAGGATCACAGCTCAGAAAAGAGCACGAGCTGAAAATCTGGCCACTTACCGACATGGCAGTCAGCAGTGTACGCGACATCCTGCGTGATGGGGTCCTGGTATGGCGTGGCCACGCAGCGTTCACCGGCCGCGCACTCCTTGTTCTCACACGGGTGGTTCGTGCAATTGCATCTGCAAAGAAGAGTTGTGCTTATAAGGTTTTAGTGAAGAATTGTCAGTTGCTTCCTGCTGGATCTTAATCAACTTACACAAGCAGACTTCATTGAAATGGTCATTTATTTTTATACATAATAAACAACTATAAAATATCTCACACGCACATTCCATTATTTTTAATAATTTTAATGTGTATATAAGGCCAGCTCCACGCGTTAGATGAATGGCGTTAGGATAAACGTTGTGACAACTTCACGTTGGCTTTGACGAGACAGTAAGGCTCAGAACAGACGGTGAAACGCAACTGCAACGAAACTGCAACTTTGTGATGATTTTGATGAATGAAACTGAAACTGAAAGTTTCAAACTGGTCGCGTCATGTGTGGTCTCTCAACGGACGCTATGGCAGAAACTTAGATGCAACTCAAAAGTAACTAGCAGTTGCAGTTTCGTTGCAGTTGCGTTTCACGAAATTAACCGTCCAACATTGGTGAGTTTTGCGTCAACATGTGGCGCCGGTGTAAGAGTGTAACAAAGAAAGAGCTTCACCTCTCACAGCCATCAGAATCCACAGTACGCGCGATGCCGTAGGGGCACTTGAGCTCGGCGCAGTCTCTGCGCAGCTTCTCGCAGTCGACCTCGACGCGCACGCACGAGCAGCGCTCGCAGCCGTCCACGGTGCGCGTTCGCTGCACGCCGAACTCGCAGCGCAGCGCGCGGCACTCGTCGTTGAAGCGGTCGCAGTCTGGTAGCACTTCGTTGCCGTCCACTGCGTGGGGAGGTCAGAATGAGACATTTGATTGAAAAAGACTGAAGAAGCTTCCTTTTTAAAGTCCAACTGTACAACCATAATAGAAGACAAAATCGACATTTATTAAGAGTTTTAGAGACGACACTTATTTAGAGATTAGAGAGCAGTTCGTACTATGTCGTTGAACCATTACTAACATCAAAGAACAAATCCAGAACAGAAAGCTAATATGTACAGCTTTTTTCAACGCAAATATATTTTAACAAGTGTTTTTTTTTTAACTAGATCTCTTTAGATAAAATATCTAATTTTTTCCCCAATAAGTCAAAATTTGATTATTTCGGATGGTAAAACAATAAATGTGTGATGGTGCAAGAAAGATGCAAGCGTGCGCAAAGCGTGCAACAATGAGCCAACGAGAGCTGAAGCCGAGACAATACGAGACGAACCGAATAGCTGGAATCTGGATAAAAAGGACAATACATGACTTTGGTGGAAAGAGTCAATTCTTACAAGAAGTTCCTTTCTGATGAAAGAACGATCTAATGAAGACTTGCAGTTCAATAAATGCTGTAACAATTGCACAAATCCCACAAGATCTTAGGAAGTGGTATTTTTGGGAGTGGACTAAGGGAAGGGTCCAACCAACGCCGGTCCTAGCTCTTGATTAGATATGATTGTATTTCGGCATTGGCGCCCTTCTTGGTGATAAAGTTCTCCGGGTTTACAGCTGTACTTATTTAGATTACGTGCAGATTCGGCGCCCCTTTGCAATCTGGCAGTCCTTCGCTCTTCCCCAGGACCGGCACTGGTCAGGACCAGAATTTGGTGAGGTTAGGTTATCATCGAGCGGACGCAAGCGACTCGGAGCAGTACCATCCGTGGTGTTGGTCTGGCAGGCCGCCACGCACTCGCGCGAGGTGCGGAAGTTGTTCCGGCCGCCGCCGCATCCCAGGTACACGAAGCCGAGGCACAGCCCCGCGGCCTCGTCGTAGTACCAGCGCCGCGAGGGAGCCGCCTCGCACGCGTGTCCCACCGACACCGGCTCCAGGCACGCCGGCTCTGTCGTCCCGCAACCACCCCGGTTAGTCCCGCATGCTATAGCCTATCGCTCGATTAAAACCAAGTAAGTAAGGCCAGAAGTTGAATGCACGTTTGTATCAAACAGTATTTTTGTGCATCAATCTGCAACGTTTGTAAAGGTCTCTGCTGCGTGCTCGTTGTTTGTCGATGAATTATTGAAAGAATCAAAAGGTTTAGCTTTAGCTTTAGCTGGGCACTGTACTGTGCTTACTTGGTTTTAATGTGAGTCATCGTTTTAGTACCCAATGTTAGTCCCATAGCCGCATTAGTACCGCGCAAGCGGCGATGTGACCGGTCAGTGGTGATTCGCTACCATGCGCTTAGGTAACTATTATGAAGTCCAGAATGGATTCAGTTACTAATTTTGGACTGCTACTTCTACTATGACTGTTTTTTTTTAAAAAGCTAGGATAGGTAGATACTAAATTATAATCTTATAATCAGAATGATTATGTTTAAATCATCCTTTGTTAGATACTAGTAGAAAGAAAGTGAAAGTTATGAAGTTCAAGTAAGTAGGTAGAGTTGTAAGAACAAGCTAAATATTAATTAGAGAAATAGATCTCATTCGAAAGGGGACTCATTTGAAAGCCTGTTAGACATTGTCAATGAAAGAAGTGGCAAAATTGGAGCGTTTTAAGTTTTACGAAAGGCCACGAGAGTTTTTGAGATAGTTAAAGTTTGGGTCATAGAGAAGGAGGCTCTCTCACCAGGGCCGGTGTCCCCGCACACCTCCCGGCACTCCTGCGCGGAGGAGAAGCGGTTGGGCCCGCCGCCGCAGCCGCTGTACGCGAACGGCTCGCAGCGGCCCGAGCTGAGCTTCCAGTAGTACTTGGGCACGGCCGAGTTGCACAGACCCACGTCGAGCGGGTATCTGCACGGATCTGCAGGCCAAAGGGAACTTTGTGACGCCAGTACTAATGTGTAGCTCGGGCAAGGCAGTTATGCCAGATTTTATGAGACCCAAAAAAAACGTCTCAGCGTCTGACTTGAAAACTTTGTTATGTATTGCACGAATTACATAATATCCCTGTTAATCCCTCCAGTTGCTGCTGCAGCAGCTAAGATAAATATGTTTGTGTTAGGAGTGGGTTCACCACCATATTCTAGGAGTCAACGAGGATTAAGGACCCAAAAAAACGTCTCATCATGTGACTTGGTTGTGTAGATTATATTATTAAGTAGAGCTCTACCAAAGGTAGTTTTCGGGACTGATGGCTGAACTTGCCTTTTGAATGACGGATCATCTAGTTTTCATTCTCATAGGGTATGATTTATTTAGAAGATTGATTATTTGTTTCAGATGATAATGCTCTCTTCTTACATGGCTTTTTAATAATTTAATTTTAGAAGGAAAAAATATCATCATCACCAACAATATCCAATTCACCTGATTGAAATTATTTTTACGTGTTTTTTTTTCGTACTGTAGACATGCTTAACATATTACTACTAACTAACTACTGAGTAAGGAATGAAGCGAAAGCTTTGCTAGTGTCCAAAACCAAATGAGGAAATGGTGGCATGGTAAATGGTAATGAGGTAGTTAGGTATAGTGATAGTGCTTCAAACCAACACCATTTGAGTAAATAGGTCAAACCGCTTCTCCTACACACGTTACATCTCTCCAGTAGCAACCTTTATTTGTGGATTTGTTAGGTAACGTTATATGTCAGTTAAGTATGTCTACCACCGGTATCCCTGAAGGGTAGGGCACACGTTGTGCTTGTGTGCCTCGCCCTTCAGGGATTCAATACCTCGTCTCTGTTGCCATTTCTGAAGGACATGCTCAAAAATTCCTTAAAAGTGATGGCTCTACTCACCGAGGTTGACGAAAGCGCCGCACCTCCTCTCGCACTCCTCCTCAGTGCGGTAGCTGTTAGGGTGTCCGCAGCCGCCGAAGCTCCCCTGCGTGCATTCGCGGCGCTCCGAATCGTAGTAGAACACTGTGACGTTGTTGCCGCATGGCGCAAGCGAGCTCGGCGTCGTGCATTCGCTCTCAACTGTTGGCTGTTGGGGACATTGAGTTTGGGAATTGAGCAGTTGACAACCTTATCCAATAAATGTGAGGATAAAACTTCATTAAAACTTCAATCTGGCCCTGATTTTTCAATGTGCTTGATAATTAGACTTTTATGAGCTCTAAAATAAAATTAGTCAATTGAGTGAGTGCTGTACTGTAACGTCGCAATCTCGCAATCCTCTTTGTCATCAAATTTCCCATACATGGGAAAGTAGCATTCTGACAGCAAAAGTTTATTAAATTAAATAAATATTTTAATAAATGTATTTGAACATTAAACAGAATACAAAAGGCGAATTTATTATGATCCATCAATTAACCTTTGGGCCAGCAGAAATTAAGCGCAATGTCAATTGACTATTGTGTCAACTTCCCTACAAGAAGGATGGTTTGGTGCTTGAAAGTGTCAATAACCTCAGGCAATAACATACCGGCGCGGTGAGGGCGGGCGCGAGAGTGGTGGTGGTGGTGGCGGCGGCAGGCGGTTGACGGCGGCACTGGCCTTCGCATTCTTCGCGCGTCGCGAATCTGTACGAAAGTCGTCAATATACTCGTTACTTTAAATGTAGAGGTCTTTATTGGATGTGGTTCGCCAATCTGGAAATCATTAGCAGTGGATGTCCTGTGACTAAATTAATGACGATGATGAATGAATTTATACATTTAATGCAAGATGTGCTATTGTATGTTTTGGGCAATATAGAGAATCTGTTTAAGAAAAAGCCCAAAAAGAATTAAACTACTGAGTAGATACCTACCAAAAGTAACAAATACAGGGTTCAGGTATTTTTCAAGATTTTTCCATCTCTTTGGACAACCATCACCATCACGATCATCATCAGATCTTCCAAAAGTTACCTGTCTGTGTCCGCGGGGTTGCAGGAGCCGTACTGGAAGCACTCGTCGCGCGACTCGTCGAAGAACCACGTCTCCACGTAGTCGAAGCAGTTGATCGGTTTCGGTGTCCTCTTGCACGGGTCTGTGGGTATTGATTTTTTTTTTATTACTTTCTATTCTTTTCTAATTGAAAAAGCAGCTAAAAACTCTTTTACCAGCCTCTTCTACTAACCATCCAGAAAAAGAAACTTCGACCACAATTCTTTGAGATGATAACAATTATTGGGATGTTACTTAGTGGACGACTTTTATGTTATGTGACTGATGGAAAGTTTGAACCCATTGTAACAGCTTCAATAGCTGCTAGTAAGTAACTATTAAGATTTTAACCAAGGTTTCAGTTCTATTGGTCCCAGCTAATCCTGTCGGCCCTTCATTGAGGCTCTGCCGCACCGTGTAGGGCCGGACGTCCACGGAAGGTGTCTTGGTCTTTTCTAGTAGGTACCCAAGATCCCTACCACTTTGTAGCAGAGGGAACTCTCCAAATTTTTTGTGGGTAAAAAGGTTGTTTTTCCTGAGTAAAAAGGGCGTTTCTCCAGTTCACTGCACTCACCCTTCTCAAACTTGCAGACGTCCTCGCACTCGTCGACGGTGGAGAAGCGGTTGGGCCCGCCGTGGCAGCCTCCGTACATGAAGGCCACACAGCTGCCCAGGGCCTCGTCGTAATAGAACTTGGGGAAGGCGGCCCGGCATGGGCCCGGGTCCACTGGGTAGCGGCACACCTCTGTTGAAATAAAAGGTATTGAAGTAATTTTCCACCTCTTTCTTCTAAGTAAGTATTCTTGTTCCACTGAAGTGTTTAAAGAAGACTGCCTGCTTGAACTAGAGTTATTCTCAAAGTTCTGACTTAAGAGCTGTAGTTAATAGCCACAGCACACATGCTACTTTTAGCATCGGTGATCGGCGATTTTGCTACTTTCGTTTGTTTCGTACGTTCGGACGCGGTATCGGAATCCGGCGTTTTAGTGGTTGCTGTCGCTGCATCGAGCTTCTGAAAAACGACTCGATAGTGCGGTGTGTGCATTCAGCCACAGAATGATTTAAATAAGTATGATTCAGCTTCTAAAAAATGGCTTAATCGCCGAAGCTAAAAGTAGCAATTTTAGAAAACGAGGCTGTGTCTAGTGAAAGACATGTGCGGTGTTGCGTATATTTCCGATTTGAAATGAAAAATACCTTATTTTCTTGATAAGAGACTACACTATTCATTTTTATGGCTTTTGCTTGGTTTAGTAGCTACTGAAGGAACTCTAAAGAATTACTGACCAATGTTGCGGAAGGCGCCGCAGCTCCTCTCGCAGGCCTCCTCGGACAGGAAGACCCCGGACCTCCTGCAGGAGTTCCCGCCGGCCGCGTTGTGGTGCGGCACGCACGCGTGTTGCTCCACGTCCAGGTACCAGACCTCGCCTTCTTCGGCACACTCCTCGTCGGCCGCGGGCGCGATGCGGCACGCTGGCGGGACTTCTTCCGCCTGGGAAGGAATGAACACTGGTGATACAAGCTGTGGTGTTGTTTGAAGAAAGCTTGCGATTTAGCTTAGACGCAGACCACCAAATTTTTGTCGGCCGAGAGTTTATTAGTCGTTAATCAGTATGGGCATGTATGGAAGTGCGCGCAATACCGATTTGATTTTCACACAAATTAAAATCGGGCCCAACTATCGGCCGATTAAAAGTGGGTGGTCTGCGCCTGGGCTTAGAGGCAAATCTTTTAAGAATTTTTAAAAATCGATAGAGGTATAGGTACCTACTCTAGGCAGAAAATTACATCCTCCTCTAAAATGTGTGGTCTCAATTATCTTATACGCCCTGTATTTGAGCAACAAGCTCACATGATTTAAGCAGTCTGGGTACGTAACATGTTAAATGACGCACGGATCTTTTCACGTAGCTACCTAATTATTTTGGTCTTTAGAAACAAAATGGGATCAACCAGAACCAGGATGTTATATTTCTGTACATGTCATTTGATTGTGACTTACCGGCGCGGGAGCCGCGGTGGCGTTGGCGACCGGAGCCGGCGCGGGACCGCTCCTGCAGCGCCGCTCGCAGTCTTCTAAGCTGTCGAACCTGGATACCAAGGAGCGTGATTGGAAATGGAGATACAGTTGTTATAGTACCGAAATTAACACTTCTCACTGATCATCAAATAATTAGAATATCATCGGGATGACCAGAATATAATCCTTTAAAGTGATCCGGAAGCTCTAGAGCATGTAGGTAATCTGTTCAGATAATGGTTTATCATTAATTATTATTGTTCCTTTGACTTCTTTTAACAAAACAATATAAACCAGTTTGATACCCACGTAAAACTTCTATATGAGCTTTAACTTTAAAGGGGTGAATAGGTATCTTATGGGCAAGTTTACTCCACCATACATCACATCTACTGCTTGAGTGAGACAGATTACTTTTCTAAACAGTATAATGGTTACCTGTTGGCGTTTCCTTCACAGCCGCCGTACGTGAACTGGCTGCAGGAGTCTGAGGCGGGGTCGTAGAACCAGCTCATGATGGAAGCCTCGCACGGGCCCGCCAGCATCGGCAGTTGGCACACGTCTGCAATACCAAAAGATTTAGAACTTTATGTCTTTCAGGTAAAGTTTAAAATAAATTGAAGTAGCTATGACTTTTTGTGGTGATATTCTGCCGTACACTACATGATAGAACAATCAGTAGCGTATATTCTTTAGTTTATGAGAGTGATGAGAAGAGTTAGGCGCTTTTAAGAATCATGCATCATGCAAGATAGTCGATCTTAAGACCCCACAATTCCTGATCAGTTGTCTTCACAGTCACCCGTCACAAGCTCCTAATACGTACCCCAGTTTTTGTCCATTTACTTAAGTATTTGGTCATTTTACAATAGCGTGCCATGCATCATATTTTCTTCTTGAAGTAGATTTAAAGACCACCTTGTTCCACCACCACCACCTTGACCACCAGGTTTTGATAACGGCTTCGACCATCCTAAGATGGAGCTTCCTTAGCCTGAGATGAACTGACCTTGCGTAGACCCGCAGGCAATCTGGCAGTCGTCGTCAGAAGCGAAATTGTTCTGGTTGCCCCCACAACCTCCGTACGCGAACTCCTGACAAGTGCCTCTCTCAGCGTCATATGCCCAGCGGGATATAGCATCCGTGCACGGGCCAGGGTCCACGGATAAGAAGCACACTTCTGCAGGACGTGCGGTTATGTTGTTATTGACAAAGCGAGTGGGGTGAATGATGTTAAGTAAAATTATTTTTGGATTAGATGATGTAAATCGACAAATTGTATATTAATTATTGTGATTAATAAGAGACACACAAAGCCAAACACTTTGATTAGGTACAAAGGCTGGAACATGAATGATAGATGTTAGTTTAAAACACATTTTAAAAAATTAAATAGCTCTTATGGTATTATTATGATGTTATATGATTGGTAGAAGTTGCATCATGAATAATGTAAGTGAAAATTTTCATTCAACAACAAAAAATAAGCTGAAATATGTTGTTCGCGTAATATGATGTCACTTTGGTCAAATTCATGGCGAATAAGCGTTGTTAACACAAACAAATTAAATTTAGCAGAAAGATGAACTAATTGGTTGACGATGCTAGTTAGAAGATATCCAGGTCCTTCACCCAGGCGTTATTTCCTACTGGGCACTCTGGTCACGTGCCCAGGGCCCCGTATTGATTACAGCCCCCTTTTAATCTCAAAAAAGACCTTTTTCAATATGAAAAGAATCCTTTAATCCTTATGTGTCCAGGGTCCCTAGTAGCAGAGTAAATACGTGTTGGCGCGCTCACATACAAACCGCGCCCGTGCGTTTCTATGAAGATGACCTACTCATTTGTATTTACTCTGCTAGTAAGTTAAAGATGATCGAGTGGCGACCACGGGCTGGAAGACGTAGCGTGGGCAGGCCTCCTACTAGGTGGACCGACGATCTGGTAAAGGTCGCGGGAAGAGCCTGGATGCGGGCAGCGCAGGACCGTTCATTGTGGAAAACCTTGGAAGAGGCCTATGTCCAGCAGTGGACGTCATTTGGCTGAAACGAACGAAGGTTAAAGACGGATATTCCTCCACCTACCTTGTCCAGCGGGGGGCTGCGCGGGCGCGGGTGTGGGCGCCGTCGCTGGTCCGCAGCGCGCGGCGCAAGCCGCCTCGCTGTCGAAGCGGTTGTTGTTGCCGCCGCAGCCGCCGTAGTAGAATTGACGACATCTGCCAGAGTGAAGGATATATGAGTAAGAGTATGTACCCAATATCATCTATCTCGACCTATTTTTTTTTATCCACAACGAGAAAGCTCTTGGCCTGTATCTCACCTGATGGTGTTGTGTCAAGTGATGATCAGGCCGAAGGTGGAAGCGAGCTTCACCCGGAACCCTCAACCACGGAGGAACTGGCTATCTTACCTCTAACTGCCGGAACACAACAATGCTGTTAACATTGTTGTTATGGGCGACAGACTTGGTAAGATGGTGGTAGCTAGCCAGGCGGACTTAGAACAAGCCCTACCACCAACCAAACCGAACAGAAAATATCTGCTCCCACTGGGAATCGAACCCATTTACATATTTGGTGCAGCTTAGATAGAACTTTGCTAGAGGCTGCGATTTTTCTCGGAACTTTAAGTGGTCTTTAGGGTGTCTTATTTGCTGCAAAGTACGGCGCGACAGGAGCGTGGCAGCAGCACGATTGTTGCTAAGGTTCAACAATAGTGTTAGCTGTGGGACACTTTGCGGCTGAATTGAATGCGCCCTTAGTTCGTCAAGAATTAGTGAATCGTCGAGATAAACATGATTATTAGCTTATCAGCATGTTTTATAAAGATACCTACTGCAGATTTACGATACCATTAATTTGATTGCGCTATTGACTACTCAGTTAAGAATCGCACAACGACAAAATAAGTTGGATATTGTACCTGTTGATGGTTTGATCGAAGAACCATTTTTCAGTGTAGTCGGCACATTCGCCGGTCATCGAAGGCAGTGTGCAGAGGTCGGCAGCTAAAACATAAATGAATTGTTAAGGACCAAAGCGTTAGGCATTTTATACAGTGTCCGATAAAGACGCGATATGAGTCATAAGTTTCAAAGATAATTTTATGAGCTATGTTAACTGTATGGCTACATCACAGAATCATTGAGAAAATATTTGGACAATGAATCTGAATCACATTTCTCTAGTTATTTAGCTACGGAAGATTTACCATCAGGCATCAGGCTGTGATTAGGAGATAAATATCAATGTTTTCCACCGCCCTACTTTCTCTGCCCGCCAATGGTTGGACCAATGGTTGGCGGAAAACCCAGTTTGGTGAGATCACTGATCACCCTGTATAACTGAGTCTCCAGCGGGCACCCTAGGCTAGCTTGTTTGGTGAGATCACCCTGTGTATCTGACTTATCAGCAGATACCCTAGGCTAGCTGTTTTTGTGAAGATCATTGATCATTGTATACTCACCAGGGGTGGGCCTGGGTGCCACTGTGGTGGTGGTGGGGCGCGCGCACTGGCTCTCGCACTGCTGCTCTGTGGCGAAGCGATTCTCGTTGCCGCCGCAGCCGCCGTAGTAGAACTGACGGCATCTGGGGTAACGACATTTTCAAGTTCTTTTCTGACAGCACATAAGACTATACGGGACTATTGCCACCTCTTGTTTCTTTCCCTGCAACTCTTGTGTAGCCAGGATCTACAGCTTAACTACCAATAAAACCCGACCAATGAAGGTGAAGTTTTTTTCCCGGGAGAAAGTTATACCACAGGTTATACTGTCATTGGACCCACAACGAAATTAATCAGAAGAACATAGGAGGAGTCCGAAGTTAAGGTTCGACTTCCCTCCAGTGAAAAGGTTTAAGGTGATGAGTAACTTTATAAAAATAGCAAACGAAATTTCCTGCAAAGTATAACAGTTCATACCTCTGGATAGAAGTGTCGTAGTACCACTTCTCGGTATAGTCAGCGCATTCTCCGGTGAGCGCGGGCAGCGTGCAAATGTCCTTCACTGGAATATCAACCAATCACGTAAAAATCATGTTTATAAGTTTTATTTGAGGAAATGGATACAAGAATGGAAAAAAGACCTTCTTTAATGGAATGAGAAACATAAAAACCGTGCAAACCCAAACACCATGAAATTAATGTTATTGTTATCATTACACTAAAATGTGTTAAGAGAAGAAGAAATGAAACCCAACAAATGTAAAACCACTTTCATGCAACAGTCAAAAACAGAAAGGGGCACACTTTTTTTTGGATGCAGTAAAATTAACTACCTACTACACATTTTAAATTACATTACCTTGCAAATAAGATTCTACCAAGGACTAATAAAACCGCGGTTTCGTTACAGCATACAGCTGGCCTAGGAGTTAGGCCTAATGATGGCCGGTTCTTCAAGGGGAAGGCAATCCTTTTAGCGGGTTTACAAAAACTTACCAAGAAGAACCAGTTGTGGTTACAGCTAATGTAGAAGAAACGTGCCGAGCCGTTGTCTTAGTAGAGCTTGCTTCTCCAAGCCTTTTCAGCAAAGTAGACTATCGCCTTGCAGTAGATTTCATAACTGTTTCAAAGGAGTCAAGTATACCAACTTACCATAAGAGCTCGGGCAAGCCTCGGCACAGCTCGACTGGGAGTCGAACCGGTTGTCGTTCCCGCCACAGCCGGAGTAGTAGAAAGGCACGCATCGGTCCTCCGTCTGGCTGAAGGACCAGAGAGCTTGCTTCTCCGTGCAGTTGCCGGCTTCTTTCGGCTCTTTGCAGCGGGCTGTTCGTGCGATAGTTAGTAAGCGACTCCATTGAATTCACATCGATGGAGGAAGGTAAAGTATAGGAAATAGAAAGAGTATTAAGTATTTTGTATAACCATAACCGTAGACCCGAGATAATATTAGAACCCAAGATAGTAGAAGAAAGTTTTAATAGTTTAAAAAAGGTCATGCGAAGTATTCTTTGTTAAAAAACCCCAAACACCATGCTCACATCCCAAATTGCAATGTACATTTAATTTTAGTCTGCCAAATTAAAGATGACGATCATTCCTCAACCATACAGTTAGTGAAAAAAACATTTCATTTTTAAAAGCTCGTCATCAATGTTGTCAACTCAACACTCAACAAGTGGGTCTTAAAATGAACATGGACAAGNCTACTAACTACTGAGTAAGGTATGATGCGAAAGCTTTGCTAGTGTCCAAAACCAAATGAGGAAATGGTGGCATGGTAAATGGTAATGAGGTAGGTATAGTGATAGGATAGTGCTTCAAACCAACACCATTTGAGTAAATAGGTCAAACCGCTTCTCCTACACACGTTACATTTCTCCAGTAGATAATCCAGCAACCTTTATTTGTTAGGTAACGTTATAAATATGTCTGTTAAGTATGACTGTCTACCACCGGTATCGGTATAAAGGGTAGGGCATACCGGTGATAAATACCGGTGTGCCTTACCCTTCAGGGATTCAATACCTCGTCTCTGTTGTCATCTTTGGCACATGCTCAAAATCCCCTAAAAGTGATGGCTCTACTCACCGAGATTGACGAAAGCGCCGCACCTCCTCTCGCACTCCTCCTCAGTGCGGTAGCTGTTAGGGTGTCCGCAGCCGCCGAAGCTCCCCTGCGTGCATTCACGGCGCTCCGAATCGTAGTAGAACACTGTGACGTTGTTGCCGCATGGCGCGAGCGAGCTCGGCGTCGTGCATTCGCTCTCAACTGCTGGCTGTTGGGAACATTCGAGTTTGGGAAGTGAGTTGAATTTGGCATCATTAACCAATAATTCCAGGACACAGCTTCATTAAAGCACTTCAATTTAGCCCTGATTTTTCAATGTGCTTTATAATTAGACTTTTATGAGCTCTAAAATAAAATGAGTCAATCGAGTGAGTGCTGTACTGTGACGTCATATCCTCCTTGTCATACAAATCTCCAATACTATGGGAGAGTAAAAAATTTGCACATTTAACAGGATACAAAAGGCGAACTTATTGTGCTTTATGACATTAACCTTTACTTAATCTTTGGGCCAGCAGAAATTAAGCATAATATCAATTGACTATGTTTGTCAACTACCATAAAACAAGAAATGGTGCTTTATAAGTGTCAGTATCATACCGGCGCGGTGAGGGCGGGCGCGAGAGTGGTGGTGGTGGTGGCGGCAGCAGGCGGTTGACGTCGGCACTGGCCTTCGCATTCTTCGCGCGTCGCAAATCTGCGCGAGGAAACGTAAACAAGTCTATTGGTAATTTATTGACTCATTTCCCAAGTAGCAACAGATTATCTTCATAAGGCATTGAAGATATCTTGAAGGCTAGTAGCCTAATTCTAGCCGTTGTCTTGGCCAAGACAATAGTCGCACTCAAGAAATCTTGAAGTTATGCCCCAAGACAATGGTAGGCAAAAAAGGGCACAATCCTTTGGAAATTACTGAGACAGAGTTAAGACACCGCTTAAGGCAGACTTAAACCCTAATTAAGAGTGTAGTTTTAATAATTTCTAAACAAGTACTATAATATAACTTGTAGTATGACTGTAGACAAGGAAATAGAGTTGAAGATATCTTGAATACTTATTTAAGAGTAATAATTATTTTTACAGCTAAGTTTTATTTAACTTCACGAAGAACTATGTGAGACACTTTTTATTAAAGAGGAACTTTAATTTAGAAACATTGTGATCTTTAACACTAAATCAACTTTAGATAAAGGTTACTGAAAATGGCGATTAAATTATTTTAATATCTAATTTATATTATGTCTAGAATAGACCGTAAATGTCATTTTTGCATAGGAAATATAAAACGCATTGTGGTTTCTCGTGTAAAATTATTGGATAATGTTATAAAACAGGAGGGCCTTGAAAAAGACCTAATAAGATAAATAAAAAATTACGAAANAGAAGGAATAACACAATTTATGAGTAGAAATAGAGTTAGGACGCGCCACCGCTATTAGATTTTGGGTCTTTGAAAAATTTTTTAGTACATAAAATAACTACCTATTGTCCTGAAGACTTTGCTATCGTGTAAAACGCTGTATAAACTATATACAGAAAAAAAATCATCGCTCTAGTTACATTTCTCCCATCGATTCTCAGCTCCGCCGCGTAAAAAACGTGTTTGGGATATTCACCCAAATAACCATAACCGTAGACCCAAGATAATATTAGAACCCAAGATAGTAGAAGAAAGTTTTAATAGTTTAAAAGGTCATGCGAAGTATTCTTTGTTAAAAAACCCCAAACACCATGCTCACATCCCAAAATTGCAATCTAGGTACATTTAATTTTAGTCTGCCAAATTAAAGATGATGATCATTCCTCAACCATACAGTTAGTGAAAAAAACATTTCATTTTTAAAAGCTCGTCATGAATGTTACCTTAGCAGATCTTAGCTGATTACGTAAATGTCACTGAAATCTCATAACTGTTTGAGGTTGAAAAATATCTTCTAAAGTCAATACCAAAGAACTTAAGTCCCCTAAATCCCTTTCTCTAAAATCCCACCACCAGAGCATCCCAAACTCACGCTGAGGTTCGCCAGGCGGCGCGCAATGGTGCAGACAAGCTGCTTCTGATCCGAACCGGTTGTTGTTCCCGCCGCAGCCGCCCCAGACAAACTGCTCGCAGCGCCGCGTTTCCGGGTCAAAGCCGTAGCGAAGGAAGTTGCCCGCGCACGTGCCTCGGTCGATGGGTAACGAGCATTGGTCTGGGGAATCGGATCACAATAATAATAAATAACAAAATTTGTTTATTGCTTTTTTACAAAATAAAACTTATAATAAAAACGTAGAAGCAAATGGAGGTGGATCAGCTTGTGCTGCCAAGGACTATTTGACAGCGCTGTTTTAAATTACCATCAACGACAGCATCTTGAAGTCTGGTGCTAGGCCTTACTAATAGAAGACAGATCTGGGACTATCCATTTACCAGTGATCATAAATTGCAAATGAAAAGGAGGTCTTGAAAAACTGAGCTGTGATACTGTGAAGGTATAGTTTCAAGATTGATTTAGAACCTGAAATATCACTCGCATTCATGTCCTGAATCATGAAAAGGAACCTTATATCTTTTGGTAACTAGATATTTATTATTTGTGCTGATAAAAAAATCCTTGGGATCAGTTAGGTTTTTACAAGAACCTACCTCAGAACCCAAGATTGAAAGTATAGAATTAGCCTTGTCTGACGCCTATGGTTGTCCAAAAATCCGACATAATAACCGTGTCAATCAATCCACGGTTCTACCTCGGTTTTATCTGACCTTATTAGACGCTACATTCAGTTGTTTGTTTTAAATAAAGAACCAAACGTGGACAAAGCTCACGTAATGCTAAGGACAGTCAGACGCGTAGCTTCTTAATCTAATACAAGGCTCCAATTTAAGGCAAGACTCACCGTCGCTCTTAGCGGGCTCGCACTGCTTCTGGCAGAGCTCGCGCGAGTCGAAGTTGTTGGCGTTGCCGAGGCAGCCGCCGAAGATGAACTGGCCGCACTGCTCGCGCTCGGAGTCGTAGTACCAGCGCGGGTGGTAGCCCGTACACGCGCCCTTCACCTTTGGTAGGTTGCACGCGTCTGGAATCAACATTGAATATTGAACCTTAAGGGTTAGGTATAATAGGGTTATTTTTTTGGGTTTGAACCTTATCGAAAGGTAAAGGTTAAAACTTTGAACATAATTTGATTGTATTCTAGATCATGAAAAAGCTTTTGATATTATCTCGTTTTTATTTAGTAAGCTTTAGAACTTTATTAATTATTTTAGAGATCAGTCCAAGTCTTCTCTATAGTTATTACTAAAGCACCCTCAATGAATATTTTCGAAGGAACTTATAAAACTTATAAATAAATAGCGATGATGTACCTCAAGGGAGCATACTTGACCCTTCCCTGTTGCCTATAGATAAATGAAGCAGTCATTATATTTACTTAGTTATTAGTAGTAATAGCTAGTATTTTGTTAGTTTTGCCTAATAAATGTCTACTAAATAAATTAAATAGGTATTTCTTATCTAAGGCAGACAAAAGAAAAATATCTATTTTGATTAGCGACTGACCTGTCGGCGAGGGTTGCACGCATACGTCCTCGCACTCCTCCTTGCTGGTGAAGCGGTTGCCGTTGCCCTCGCAGCCTCCGTACCAGAAGCGCGAGCAGCCGCCGTACTGCAGGTCGTAGTACCAGTACACGGAGTAGTTGGAACATGAACCACGGTCGGTCGATAAGGCGCAAGCAGCTGGAAAATAATGTGAGAAATGAAGAATAAACTTTGATGTAAGAATAAAGGTAAAAAAGGGAATTCTGTAACTTCGAACTCTTCCTACGTTCTTCTGGTTAATTATTTTGCGGGTCTAATAACAGTTTAATTTTCCCCGTGATAAACATGAACTTCACATCAATATGTGATCACCCAAAGAGTACCACCAATGTGGCCCAGCTACTACGCGGAAGTTACGGCGGTGGGAATAGTCCCCATTATCCTTAGAGGAGTAAATAAGATATTTGGTGAGCTCTAAATTGTTATTCTCTTTACTTATTTTCAAATTTTTTAAACTGCGGAGCATTCATAAGACAGTGGAAATTATATCAAACAGAACACAGTTGGTTGAGCAACATTGACAACTTTATAAACTCACCTTGTCTGTTTTCAGGTTTGTCAGTGCATCCCAGGAATTTAGTGCCGTTGGCGGGCGTCTGTCCATCGGGGCAGCACCCGTATTTGCTGGTGGAACAATCGCAACCGGCCTGGTTAGGGCCGACAGCGGCCGTCTTGCCGTCGCCGCAGCATCCGAACTCGGACTGCTGGCAGAGGCAGCCCTGCTTGCCGGGGCCCTTGGCGATGGTGACGCCGTCCTCGCAGCAGCCGAACTGGTATGTGCTGCAGTCGCAACCTTCGTATTCGGGGCCGGAGGCTGGCGTGTGTCTGGATGCAATAGGGATGAACTCGATTTAGATAATTGAGTTTTTTCTAAGGCTATATTCGATTGCTATTTTAAACAATGGTCAATGGATCAGTCGTTTTCGTACATTTGACTATGGAGACCGTAAATGTGTAATAATGGCGGAATTAATGCCGGGAGCCATTCGCTCTCACTCTCTAATCAGTACCAGTCAATCTCTCTTTTGATCGGTCAAGAGCAAGGTAAACGAAAAACAATAAAATGTAACTGAAAAGGGACATATAATGTAGGTTTAGTGTTATGACTCACCTGTCAGGGCAGCAGCCGTGCTCGGTGTACTGGCAGCCGCATCCCTCGTTGCGGGGCCCGGCGGCGATGGTGACGTTGTCAGGGCAGCAGCCGAAGTGGGCGTACTGGCAGCCACAACCTGGAAATACCACACTCGATCAGTTGTCTTTTTGTTAAACCTACATCGTTATCATCATCATTATAGCCACAGGATGTCCACTGCTGAACAAAGGGCTCCTCAAACAGGCTGAAGTTAAGAAAATTCACATAGCAATAGACTGAGCTTCCTCAACTACTGATGAGGATTCCTTGAACCACGCGAACCTAGTAGGGTAGTAGTACCTAGGTGTAAAGTATAAGTATGTCAGTAATAAACCTTGTGTGTGTTTCATAACCATCTTATGCCGAATACTTACTAACTTAATTATGATAAAGTGCATCTCAAACTAAATTATAAGCTTGAAAAAATCGAACTGCCTGAGGTGGGAATCGAAGCCACAACCTTTCGCTTGCCGGGCGACTGCTGTTCACTTGTATTGACTGCTCTAAATTGTAATTTGCCATCACTTAGTATTAACACAGTGACCTTTAGTGTAATGACTTACCTTCAAGGTGAGGTCCTTCAGCAGGCTTGAAGTTGTCTGGGCAGCATCCATGTGGGTACAAGAGGCAGCAGCCTTCGTAGTCGTATCCATGGGCTGGCGTCTCCCCGTCGGGACAGCATCCGTAGGCGGACGAGTTGCATGACATCACACAGCCTTCCATTTGGGCCCCAGCAGCTGTTGATGAAAGTTTCATAGAAAACATGTAGGTAGGTTACAAGTTTATTTCGTTTAGTTGATTTTAAAAGCCATAGCACACTTATTACTCCGGAAAGGGGTCAACACCGTATAGTCTTTCGCCACGTAGACAACCGCGAGGCGAGGCGTTAATACTGACTGCCTCGAATTGATACGGTTACGATCCGTTTCCGGGTTGATGAGTGTGCTTCGTCCTTTGGTATCCTGCTTGAAATTGTATTTTACCTTTTTAAATGCATCTGTTTTGAACTATTGAAATGAGTAGACTATAATAATATTGTTAGCATCGTACCTGGTGACACGCCATCAGGGCAGCAACCAAATTCGGTAGAGTTACAGTCAGCATCTTCAGGTGAAACTGTTGTGGTAGCATCTTCACCCTCTTTTTTTTCTTCTCCCTTCTGTACGACGGTTTCAGGGCAACCCGCTTTGGCTGGTCCGGTAGCTTCAGTTTTTTGGTCTTTGCAGCATCCATATCTGTGATTCCATATGGTTAATAAGTAATCATTTTATCACAACTCAATAGCCCTTGATTCTTGGCTTAAATTACTTACCTGGTTTGTGGTTTCTAAAAGCTTAGTCTTTATTATAACCACTATTGTCGCCTTCACTTAGAAAAGTGGCAACTTTGCAAGCAGTTAGTTTTAGCGGGTTTATTTCTCGGCAGGGACAGGGATATCCATTAGCCGAATGCATTTCTTTACTTGGTGTACTTAGGAATAACTATCTAGATCCTCTGGTCTGGTCTACATTATCTAAACCATTTCTTATGTGTAATCTACTTACTTCGACGACTTGCAAGGCGGTGGCGGTGGCGGGCAGCCTTCCTGCTCGTTGCCCTCGGCCGCGGTCTTGTTGTCGGACTTGCAGCAGCCGAACAGAGTCTCCGCACACGGCTCAGTGGGACAGCCCTTGTTCTTAGGCCCGGCCGCTGGCGACACGCCGTCGGGACAGCATCCATGAGTCGTCTCGTTACAAGTCTTTGGATTGGCACAACCTGAAAAATAAGGGAATTTACTTAGAACGGACCACTTATGGAAGGTTCATCATCATCATCATCATCAACGGCCCTTTACAGTCCACTGCTGGACTGTGAGTCCTCCACTATAGTGGAGGGTTTTGCCATAATCCCCACGCTTGGCAGGCGGGTTGGAGATCGCAGTTTAAAAGATTGAATGTTTTTAGAGAGCGCTGCTGCCCCTTCTCTGTTTGATGTGTAGTCCCTAAGTCGCCTCTTACGATACCCGCGGGAAGGTTGATTCTAGGAATTATGAAAAATACTTTTTATGTGTCGTACCTTCGTCAAACGGTCCAGCAGCAGGAGTCTTCTTGTCAGGACAGCAACCAAACTTGCTCTTTGTGCATTTGGCAGCACGAGCCTTGCAACGTTGCTTTTTGGTGATGCCAAAGGTTGTCGCCGCGTCCCAAGGTGCTAGGAAAAAAGACGTCGACATATTTTACAATTTTTGAGTAATGGGGCAATTTGTCTATATTAACTATTGATTTATTTACTTTGATTGCCACTGGCACTGCATAAATAAGAAAAATATAAGTCTACTCACTTGATCCACCGGATACAGTCGATTCTTCGCTTGTTTCAGTCGAACCAGTTTCGGTGCTACCAGTTTCTGTGAATATTAACGATAGAAATTACGTAATTTGATAAATTTTACAACAATTTATCACCGTCGCTCTAATCTGTGTATTACCAGTAGAGCCAGTTTCTTCAGTGGCCGACACCGTGGAGCCAGTGTCTTCGGACGCAGACTCAGTGCTGCCCTCTGTGGTGGATGCTTCAGTTGATCCTGTCTCTTCACTTGCCGCCTCTGATGTTGGACCTTAGCAACAAATATGTATGTATGTTTAATCATATTATTATTATTAATTTGACATTAGATTGATCCAGCCTATCGCAAAAATTCGATGCATCGAATTCATTAAATAGTGACACTTTGTAACTACAGATTTTTTTTGTCATTTATGTTTTCAAAGTCTTAAAATCTTACCAGATTCCGTAGTTTCAGTAGAAACAGGTGACTCAGTAATGCCTTCAGATGTAGATTCTGTAGACCCAGACTCAGTTGTTGATCCTGAAAGTTCTGTAGATTCAGATTCAGTAGGGCCCGAATGTGTAGAACCAGATTCGGTAGCGCCTGATTCTGTCGATCCAGGTGCCTCTGTAGAACCAGCTTCAGTAGTGCTACCAGCTTCTGTTGTTTCAGATGAACCACTAGCTTCAACCTCAGTAGTGCCTGATGATTCAGTTGCTCCGGATTCAGTGGAAGATGAAGATTCAGTGGCCCCGGACTCGGTGGAAGATGAAGATTCAGTTGCTCCAGACTCAGTTGTACTGCCCGCTTCAGTAGTTGCGGACGAATCAGTAGATCCTGATTCTTCTGTAGATTCTGTTCCATCAGATTTATCAGAAACAGTGCTTCCTGCTTCTGTCGTACCGTCAGTGGCACCAGATTCAGTTGATCCCGATTTAGTAGTACCCTCCGTAGATTCTGATGTCGATAATGACGACTCTGTACTCGATTCAGATGTTTCATCAGTAGGTGACGATTCAGATGTTTCATCAGTGGGTGACGATTCTGATGACAAAGTCGAATCAGTAGCTTCAGTTTCCTCCGTAACCGTTTCGTCTGTCGCAGTGGACTCCGTTTCCTCGTCATATTCAGACTCTGTAGTTTCCGTTTCATCAGTAGATCCTGACACTGTGCTTTCGGTTGCTCCAGTTGATTCAGTAGCTCCCGATTCTGTAGTTCCATCAGATGGACCTGACGCATCAGTGGGCTTGGATTCAGTAGGCTTAGTAGAGCCTGTCGAGCCGGTGGTTTCCTCTGATCCAGATACAGTCGTGAGATCAGACGAGTCTGTGGCACTGGACTCAGTAGACCCAGTTTCGTCAGTATAGTCGATGTCGAATTCGCTTGATGAGGAACTCTCGACAGTCGACTCGGTTGATCCTGTGGCGTCACTTGATTCGGTTGAACCGGATGGTGGCGCGGAACCATCTGACGAGGCTGATATTTTAACAGCAGTTGGCTCAGTGACAAGTGAGCTGGAGTCAGTGGCACCAGACTCTGAGGTTTCGTCTGTGTCGGTGCTAAGAGTAGTCTCATCAGTGGAACCAGTTTCGTCAGTAGACCATTCTTCTGATGATAATGTGGAATCGGTTGAGCTAAAGCCGGAACCCTCTGAAAAATAATTAAGTAATTAAGACTTATTATTTAATTACTATACTATTATTTTAAAGTTTTATTTAATTTTTATTATTATCTTTCTTACCTCCTGATCCTAGAGTGAATTCTGACTCGAGTTCCGAAGGTGACTCTGTAATAGTGTTCATAAATTATAATATAGGTTAAGTAGTAATAATGATGTTATTAATCTCATTCGGATTAAATCGGATAAGAAACACTTGCAAAAAAAATATTTTAAGAAAATATAAGAAACTTAAACATTTGCATTGTTTTTAGACCTAAGGAAATAAAGTTCAAAATAATGTAGGTATTATAGATACTATTCTGCCATTAACAGCTTGAGGGTTAATCAAACTTACCAGATATGTCTGGACTGTCACTGAACATCTCATCGGGCTGCAAAATATGTAAGAATATGAATAAATTCGATATAATCTTGTTGAAACCACTAATGTCACTAACCGAGGCGATGAAAGCAAGAAAAAGCAGTGAGAGTTCTTACGAATGTGCTTAGCGAAGAGTCCTCTTCAGCGCCCTTCTCTGGGAACTCATCCTCTTCCGCGCCCTCTGGGAACTCCTCGTCCTCACAGTCCTCGTCGTAGTCGTCCATGATGGGGGTCGGGTTTGGTCCCACAACCGTTACCTCATCTGGGAAATGAGGCCATATTAGAAGAAAAATATCGCTATTTTCTTATCATCATAATTACACGGACTTCCACTCCTGAGCACTGGAGACAACAACAAAGATTTGTACGACGAAGACTTGCTGATAATGTTTATCTATCACTACAACTCGGTCTGGCTGGATGCAGGCCGCTACCAATCGATCAACATGGAAAGTATTGGCTGAAATGACAACCCGGTCAAGTTAACTGCTGGGATGCGACTGTCCCTCGTACTCACCCGCACACCTCCTTCCAGTCCAGTCCGTACCAGAGCGTCGATGTGACGTCACGACAGCCAGGTCCGCAATTAAGTTGACCGGGTTGTACACATTACATAAGGGATTGCCTAAATTGTAAGACCTAATGGGAATTCTAATGTGGTTATGCAATGATCACCATCGTCACTACGGGAGGCCTGCAGCAGCCTAGACGGGCTGCTCGCCTTCTGGGGGGATCTGGGGTGGTTGGAGTAGGAAGATAAACCACAAATCGCGCACAATGGCCCAATCAGGAGGCTAAGTGCGGTATTCGATTGCCCTGCAAAACTAACTAACTGTGGTTATGCAATAAACGATTAAGTTTGAGTATTGATTATAGCGTTTTACCTNTTTATTACCTTCGTTGCAAGGGCTCAAGTTGCAGGCCTGCGTGCTGTCGAGCACAGAGGCGATGTCGCAGTCCACTGCCGGCTCGGTCCCGCTCAAGCACATCACGCGGCGGAACTGCTCGCCTCCGTCGCAGGGCGCTGTGCACTGGACAAACAAATGGAATTGATATTCCTAAGGCTACGGTTTCTTATTAAACGTTATACGCTGCGTACGATATCAGCGTCAACACAAGCATGTGAATTGCTTACTTTGGGGCTAGACAGCGCTATGTAAAATTGTCCAAAGATTTATTTATTATTTCTTTAGCATTGACGTGGCCTATTGCGTGACGCTATTACGCGGCTTACGGCATTTATAAGAGACCAATCTTAGATTCTTACATTTACTCACAAGTCAGTCGAATCTTGAGTCAAAAAGGAGGATTTTAGCAAGATGTGTCTCACATCTTGCTCATTTGGTCAATTAGATAGGGTCTTGCTCATGCAGTGGAGACTAATGACTTGATGAGAAAGAAAGAACATGATCTCCCACATGTGTCATCTATCCAGCCGTCTTTATTCTGAGGTTATCTTTACGAATGTGCTGTTGGTGTTGTTTTATGTTGGAGTTCCGAAGAAATAGTTTTTTTTTATACGGTGAGTTTTCTTTCCCGAAAACTTTAAACCAGATCTTTTCAAGGTAAGAGTGAATGGCACAGGGTTACAGAGTGTGATTGCGGTCAAAATCTGCCTAATAAAGCTAGCATGGTCTAAGTACATTGTCTTACCTCAGACCAAGGTCCAGCGTACCACAAGGCGGGGCACTTCTTGACCTCGCAGGGCCGGGTGTCGTTGTACTTCTCCTCCTGGTCGCAGCGTTCGTCGGCCACCTTCAGAACAGACTCGCCGTCGAACATGCCGCAGAAGACGCGCCGGGTTTGCACGCCGACGCCGCATTCTGCCGAACACTGAAAGAGATTGACGATGAGAAAAAGCCTTAATTATTACAACAATAAAGATTTCGATGTAGGTTATGGGTTAATTCCACTTCAAGATTTATCTATTAAATGACTAGGTAAGTAATTCAAATACTGTTTTTGTTGTTCCTATGGGTAATTTGGGTCTAAGTCACAGCTTCTCTAACTTTGCATCGGGATTCGGGACGCATTGGTGCGGCTCACGCTTTCTCGCGTAGGATTGATTGATGTTTCAAAACAATTTTCTTCTTACAATTCGAGTTCGACTTATGGGAATCATAAAAAAAAATTGGAGCTCCCGTATTTGAAAATGGGCGTAATGATTGGATCAATAAAGAGGTAGTATTTTATGTACGTTAGCTGTTCAAATAGACATTTCTTTTATGATGCAGTGGGTTCAGCTGCCTCAATTTTTTTACTATTCTGGACTCCTTGCTGGACTTTGATGTCTGAAATACAATCATTTTTATTTAAAACAAGATGCTCACCTTGCTCCATTGAGTAGCGTACCACTGGACCTCGCAAGGAGGTAGCTTGGTGCGGTCACACGGTTCCTCCAGCACCGGAGTTGGATGATACGAGCAGAACGTGGAGTTTACCACTTTTCGGTCTTTGGTCGCGCACACAGCACTCCGGGTTTGCACTGTCGATAGGCAGTTGTCGCACTGGAAATTACATTTTATGTTAAAGGTCATAAAAGACAATTTTGAGTCTTCTATTGTCCAGGTTTTATAGCGACTGAGGATATTAGTGCCGCCTTAGAAAGTCTGACATGATTCATGTCGTAGGTCAGGCCGTTTCAAAGCTCTTATGGCCTGTTTCAGACTTATCACTAATCACGCGGTTGCTAAACAGTACAGTTCTCGTACATATTGCGTCGAACCGTAAACGCACGGTTATGGCCTTAGTAGTTGCAAGCAAGAACTACCGGAAATGGCACGCTTATTATGCATGTCTGAACCAGAATGGAGAATCAAGAAGAAGAAACTACAACTCGGTCGAGTTAACTGCGCACATGGCTGTGGTGACGTCACATCGACGCTCTGGTACGGACAGGGCGAACGCGGGGAGGTATGCGGGTAAGTGCAAGGGAGAGTCGCACTCCATTAAAGTGCGTAGCAACTCGAATGGTTTTTAATAGTGCTCTTTACAACATTCCAAAGATGACCTTTTGAAAGTGCCTAGCTATTTTTTCATAAAATGACAACTTACAATTTTGAAACAACCTATTCAATTCCTCTTGTAATCACAGAATGTGAATTTTTTTAGTTCTTACCCCAGTCCAGTCAGTGAGGACCCAGTCGACTCCCTCGCAAGGGTGCAGCATGCAAGCCTGCTCCGCGGGAGGCTTCTCGTCCACGCACTCCTTGTCGTCCAAGACTTCCACGCGGCCGTCCGTCTTCTGATAGCACACCACTTGCCTGGTCTGCTTGCCTTCGTCGCACAGTTTGTCGCACTAGAATACGGAACAAAATTGTAAAGTTAGGTATAAATTAAAGATGATTGTGATTGGAATTCATTGCTGTTGTAACAAAAGGTGTCAATTACCCTACTGTTGACTGAGTTTGGTCTCTGTCAACCACTGGACTATATTTCTATTGACCACATTTCTAACACAATTATGTGTTAAAGCTTAGCTGTAAGTAAATGGATTTGAAATTTTAATTACAAGTCCATTTCAGCATCATAATAAGCTATTGCTATCAAAATAAATATTAGTTTATTATTATGTTATGTCGTCTTCTTTTAAATATTTAACACTAAGTACTCACAGGCTTCCAAGGTCCGGTAAACCAGGTAGGGCAGGGGGCGTCATGGTTGCACTCCTCGAACTGAGCCGGCATGGGGCCCAGCAGTTCCAAGCACTCCTTATTTGCGACCACTGTTGGATTTCTGAAACAAGGTATGCCAGTTTAGAGGGTGTGAAGAATTTGGAAACATTTTATCAATTCAATATTATACAAAACGGCAAAATAACATCACCAGTATGCAGTAGGCCTAAGATGCGCGCCGCGATAAGCGGTTATCACGCAATTTTATCGTTTTTCCCATACATTTTGACGTCGATAAAAGTTATCACGGCGTGCATCTTAGGCCTATAGCATAAGGTATAGTCGTCCTTATTTCTGTCAATTTGCTTATTTTTGCCTGAAACCCTTCCAGCCTCCACTGCCAGTTTTTTCGAAGACCTAACTATGTCTCTCTCCTTATCAGAACTATTCAACCACTAGTTTCTACTGCCTTCATGTTCTGCAAGTTTTTCTTTTTCATTTGAATCCTCTCCAGTACTTTTGATGTCAACGATCTCTCCTGCTTCAACTACCAGCTATATTGACGTCAACAGTGGCTCACCCATTCGAGACTATTTTCGCCTCTCGATCCCGTCACTGCAACTCCTGTGCAGCCAGGATCTACAGCAGGACCGCCAGTTTGACTCACCTATTCGCAATGATCTTTTCACAGCACACGTGACGATGGCGGGTGCCGCCCTCGCCGCAGTGCTTGGTGCACTTGTCCCACTCGCCCGTGACCCACTGCGCGGGGCACGGGTTGTTGTTGCAGGTCTGGTTGGAGTCCGGCTTGAAGGCCTCGTTGCAGAATAACTTGGGGTCGAAGGACCACTCTAGTTAGTAGACTGTAGATAAAGGTACCTACATGATCTGCAAGTCTTACTTTTTAGCCTCTCCTGCTTCAACTACCAGCTATTTTGACGTCAACAATGGCTCACCCATTCGGGACTATTTTCACCTCTCGCTCCTGTCACTGCAACTCCTGTGTAGCCAGGATCCACAGCAGGACCGCCAGTTTGACTCACCTATTCGCGATGATCTTCTCGCAGTACACGTGACGATGCCTGGTGCCCCCTTCGCCGCAGTGCTTGGTGCACTTGTCCCACTCGCCTGTGACCCACTGGGCGGGGCACGGGTTGTTGTTGCACGTCTGGTTGGAGTCCGGCTTGAAAGCCTCGTTGCAGAGTCCGTCGTCTACCACGTCTAGTTCTTCGCGAGTCCGGCACGTAACGTTGCGGGTTTGGATACCTGAAGAACAAAAAAACCTTAGAATAAAAAATATTTATTAAGCCCTTCACAATTTAGGTCCTTAAAAATAAAATTAACTAGGCCAAGGCCAAATTTGTAACAAAGTGTGTGTGACTGGTGCCTGAAATAGGTTTCAAAAGAGAAACCTGTGCTACGGGTCACCAGGCCCCACCCCTGTTTCGGATTATTAGTATTACATTACAGCCGTTCTGAATAAAAAATGTGTCTGACCGGACATTTTGTAAAGCAGCTCGTGAACGACACACCATAATATGACTATACTAGTTAAATAGATGAGCTGACGATTTCTTACTTCTATTATATCTAGAGAAAACAAATAGAACTATCAGAAAGAAGTAATACCTCCACCACATGTTTCGCTGCAAGGCGTGAACTCATCGTGGACCCAGTTGTACTCCTGGTTGGGCGGTGGCGCTAGTGCTTTGGGTATGCTGTACTCGTACTGAATACCCACGTTTGGCTCTTGTAGGAGAAGCTGAAAACAATAACTTTGTTTAAATATGATTGTGCAGAAATGTAGAGTTTTGCAATATGCCTATAAAACGCAGAAAAAATCGCCCCAAGAATTGTAACATCATCATTTGCCCTCTAAAGAGAAGAGCTAAAAAAAGATAAGACCTCGAATTTGGGACAGAGACCAGTGGTTTGCTACACCGGTTTATTTCTTTTTAACCGCACAGTATTCTCGTTAGTTCTGATTACTTACAGATAAGAAAAGCGCTTCATTCGTCGGTCCCAAACACCTCAGTTTGTCAGGCGAAGGCAGTCCGTTCTGGCTTCGCTCGTAGTGCCACGTCGCCCCCGCGATCTCTATGCTTCGAGGGAAGTCGATGTGGTAGTAACCGTTCAGGTAGTATGTGTCGTTCGTTGTCGCTCTTAACGCTGTGGAATAAACATCATTTTACTTTGATGATAGATTGTAAACGAAGTAGGTATGTACAGATTTCTGATCCACTTACCTAAATAATTACTGGATGCTCTGACTTCTCTAATATAAATGTTGGTTGCCCCAGCAGGTATGAGAAGTATGTCATTGTATCCTGAAAACCATATAAATATTTAGAGTTAGACAGTGTACCTGAAAACACCAACCACCAATACCTATTGAACGTTTTTAGTAGATACTATAAGCAATTACTATGCATGATGGAAAACGCAGCGTGGGACGTCCACCCACAGGGTGCACCGACGACCTCATAAAGGTAGCAGGAAAGCGCTGGGTGTAGGCCGCTACCAACCAGTCAATAGAAATCATTGAGGAGGTCTATTTTTAGCAGTCGTCCTGATGTTGATGATGGTTGATGTGGTGAACTTGATAAACGGCAATCGTTGTTCAGTTCACCAATTAGTGAGTTGCTGGTCCTCAGAATCTGTGAGGAACTGGGGTTAGTCAATGGACCCACCATTCCTGAGATCCTGTGTGTCCAGAATGTTGTCTTCAGTGTGGCAGTTGGTGCCATTCCCGCGGCACTCCCGGCACTTATCCTCGCGCGCTGCCGACCCTAGCATCATGTCGCAACCAACAGGCTGCAACAACATTTACTATTTTACCACCATCATTGCAAACTGAACCATATTCTCTAGGAGATTAGAGTCAGGAAGAATTTCAGGTGGTGCTTATTATCTTCTGTAGCACAGGGCAAAGTCAATTGATTTGTAGTGAAATGATAGTGAAGACTAAGAGTTTAGTTTCTTCCAACTGGAACAGCTAGCTTAAATTACATTCTTAAATAAAAAATACCGTAATTTTTTTTTATGATATTATTACATCCAGCTTAACGTAATGCTTATTTAAGATATCAAAATTGTTCTAAGGTGTTGATGACACAGATGACTTTATAAATATTGTTTGTCGATCTATAGACTGTCACGCTACATCACGCACAGTGAAAACTTTACCACCGCGAGCTAACAGCGTACAACGCCATCTAGCGGTGAGTAGTCGTACCATTAATAACTGACTAGCATAAACAAATTTTGTTTCTCTCAATTTACCTGGCAGGTGCCGTTTACGCAGACGTCGAAGGACTCCTCGCTGCACCTGGTCCCGTCGACGACCTGCAGCTTCTGCCGGTAGTAGAACCGCTCGCCTCGCGGCATGCAGTTCAGCTCGCACGGGTTCGGACCCTTTGTGTATGGCACCCATCTGGATATAACAATAACAGCAAAATCATACAACTTTTCAAGATAATATAAATTAAGCGTTTGATGCTAGTACTTAGTAATCTTCTTGAAAATCACATTAAAAATGTGAAAGTCAAAAAATACACTTTGGTAAGATGGTGGTAGTCAGCTTAGCTTGGATTTAGGTACGAAGCGCTGACGCTATACCTCCACCACTACGCAGAAAATTTAGCCACCACTTAGGAATCGAACCCAGGACATCTGTATCTGAGACAGGTGGTCTCACCACTAAACCACATAAGCGTTATAAATAACTAAATACGTGCTACTAACTCGACACGTCTTAATTTATATCTTTTTGCATGCTATACTCTGTTGAAATGTGTGATCTAAACCTAAACTAGTTTTTTCAAGCTAAATACCTAATTGATTTAATTGCATTTGATAACTCACTTGTATTTGATTCCCTTAAAGGCCACGTCGTCGAACTCCGAGCACTGTTGGGCGCGGAAGTCCTGGGCGCCGTCGGGACAGTCCTGCGTTTGGCACGAGAAGAACTTCGTGTCTCCTCCCCGGCACAGAGGCTGGCCGTCTGGTCTGAAACAGAAAAAATATTAAGATAATTTATTTTAAAGTCTTTTTAAGGCGTAGGTACACCTCCAAATATTGCTGTGGCTCGTTGTGCCTAAATTATAAGTTTCGTGGTAATTTTAGTTAATTTTTAAGAAATACTCGATATACGGGGTTAAGACGTGAATATAAAACAATAATTATTTACAAAATTGAGACGAGAAAATTTTAATGCGTACAAAATTCGTGTCCAAGAAAAAAACAAAAGAACATCGAAATTGTTCGTCGAGAAAAATGCAGTGCACACGCATGCAGTTTTCTTAGTGGCCAGTGTTGCGCGGCCAAGGAGGCGGCCTAACTTCGTCAACAACGATTGATTTTGTTTATTTTGTAATGTCTGTGTTCTTTTATGGCTAGGTATTTTAGAAATTCAGGATTTGACAACATTCACTTGTGATGTTTATTAGGGATGCTATCTAGCGTAGTACAAACTCAAGTCTGAAGAGGCTCAGGTCTTCAAACAAAGAAAAAGAATTTTCACGTCTTCTATCCTGCTTTGCTTCTCTGGCTTTATTTAAGAAACAGAGCATGCTTCTAAGACCGCCTTCAAATTAGAGGCATGCAACTGTGCTTCTAGTCTAGAAATTGCATGAATACTAGTATAGTGCTGCCGCAAGCGCGCCATAATGGCACTACTGCAGCGCTTCCTAGTCTCTAATTCGAAGGCGCCCTAAGTCTCAAGTATTTAACAATATCTCAACTCAAAACCAAGACCCTTACCCAACTTCGAGACATATCCTTTTCTGGCTAGCTACACCCCCGCCGCACGTCCGCGAACACGGCGAGACCTCCCCCCACTCCCCCCACGCGCCGTGCCCCTCCCCCCCTGGTATCACGTATGATGATGAGAGGAACAGCCCGGCACCTTGCCGTCTGTGTCTGCTTCGGTGTCCGTGGACCTTTAGACAAAGAACAAAGTGGTTTTTAGGCACTGGAATGTTTATGGAATAAATGACTATGACTATGACTGCACGACAAGCTAAAACACTGTAATTTGGCATGTTTCAAGAAGACTGACGCATCATAATACGGGACTATTACCACCTCTCTTTCCCACTGCTGCAACTCCTGTGTAGCCAGGATCTACAGTTTGACCGCCAATAAAAACCTAACCAGTGAAGGACAAGTTTGTCTCGGGGGAAAGTTAAAATGTCATTATAATGGTAAGGTACTCGAGTTTATCGCACTAATATTAGCTCCCAGCGGGATCTGAACTCGTAACTGCAGCTGTTATCGTAGTCGATAAACACCAGAGAGGCGTCAATAAGCAGGCCATGAAAAATAATTCACAAAGCTCCACACTGCGTACCTACATTTAACTACTGTCCGACTCGCATCAGTAAGTATCTACTAATTTCAGCTGTTTATTAAAAATCCCAAAAACTACTGTGTTTTATAGTGTATTATAGTGTTCGTTGTTGTGTGTATTATAGTGTTCCTCTTCAATAGTTATTTCTAATTTGTCACGGGGTTCTTTTAAGTTGACTGAACTAAGACAATAAATTCGTGTCTAACAGAAGCCAAATGATTCATCCGCGACCAAATAAATGATCTTGGGTGGCAGTCACTCTATTTAGTACGAGTAAATGAGATGATTGATTCTATAATTGTTTTTGTCGCCGTATCATCGCTACTGTGATTGTTCGTTTTTTGTCGTCAATCTTAATCCAGAGTTAGCATGTGGGTGTATTTTATAATATGGCACTTGGTAGAGTTCAGTATCAGAGAAGTGAAAGTAAAGTTAGGTAGTAGATAGATAGCCAGTAGCTGACTACTGAAAATTGCTTTTTTGTCGACCAATGGCATGTTCAAGTACAGAATCATACTCTGATTTCTTTTTAGAAAATATTTTATTAACCACTATCCTATCTAAATCGGGATAAAATAAAACAAAACCACGCCAAATGGGAATGGAGCCCAGGATTTATTCGAGAGTCGAGTCTCTTCCGTAAGAAAACAACAGTCAAATCACTGCACTGACGTGTTTTGTGTCGCTGGATAAAACATTTCATTTTCATTTCTTCACTATTTTCAATGAAGCTGATATAAACCTCTCAGGTAAATGCACCAAGGCAAATGATAAGTCAGGTAGCGCCGGAAAATTGAAAAGTGAGTAGATAATAATCACTAACGTAGATGAGGTATTCTCGTCATGATTTTACTACTTACAATATTATCTATTTATAATCAAAGCAGTTCAACGATGGCTATTGTATTCAACAAATCAATTTGCGATTTCCGATGGAATAATCGAAGGCAGCTTAAGATGTTCAATCTAACTTATAATGGTCTGTCGGCCATTGCATTTGAATGATTTATGGACTGCACTCCTCGAGCGTGGTTCCCGCATACGAAATGTTGTGGTGAATGCACTTGGGGCTAGTCCGGAGTGTTTGGAAGAGCAACTACAAGTAAGGCTGATGATACATCGAAGTTTTGCTTAAATAAGTTGGACATAAATGTTATGAAAGAAATTAATTAAGTCACCTATTTGTAAAATGATGATTTGACGCCAACAGTCTTTTAGTTAAAAGTGAGATAGATAACTTGTTGCTTTTATTCAAATAATACCTTATTAAGTAAGTAGTTCATAAAAGGGTGTTGACGTAATTTTAGTCCAGAATTTTCCCATTATAATCTTCAATTGTTGATGTGATCATGCGTAAGACCTTGGCATTCAATTGTGGCCAACAAAGAAATGGCCACTTTTATATTCTTGATGACAGTATTCTTAAACGAAGTGCTTGATTAACATTTGTTGTGGCCTCGTTTCTCGGTTATTTTAAGTCTTACACTGTACTGTAACGAACAAACAGACTTCTTCTTGTTGTTAATAATTTTGTTCTACTTGCCCAATTAAAAAATAGTGCAGAACTTGAAATAAAGTCAATGGCCCGTACTTAAATGTTGTTAAGACAAAAATAAACTGCAAAATGTAGAGTCACCAGTATAAACGCACCCTTTCTTCTAAAATGCCGATCACTGCGGGAACTCGCTGGCGATGGTTCAAATAAAATGTTATGACGATAAACAGCTTGTCATATCTTCAACTTTCTTCTGACTCCTGCCACGTCGCGATAAGATTTATATTCGTGTATCACTGCGCTGTGTTGCAACTCGGAGCACCTCGAGTGTATGCACATTAATAACGATTGATTTTAAATTATAAATGACAGTTTATTTGGATAAGTCGACGGACGCACCTGACGTGAAATTGCTTAGAAAATTACGGGAAATGCAAGTGACGAGGTCAATGTCTTATTGCTGTCCAGTTCAACTCTTGGGTGTTAGGTTGTCTATTTCAGTGACTAATGGTTATTAAGTTGCTATTTATAAAGTTTATCAAACAAACTTTTTTTAGAAAACAAGTTTTTTTTAGTTATACAGAACAAGGCAGGTATTTGACCGCAATCACACCTGATGTTGAGTGAGATTAGTTGTTTTGATGATCCTCAATGCTTTTTACATACTATTTTTATAAATTACAGTGCCAATTTTATGACATAGAGGTTTCTTCCATGGCCAACTGATCAGTTACAACCTGTTAAGTCTTAAGATTTATAGGCTTCCCATTGCTTTGCTAGGATGGGTCATGGGTCCCGAAATAGCCAATGATCGCGAGTGAACGACCGATGACATGTCATCACTCCCGTCAGTCTTGGCGCCGCTTGATTGCTTTATAGCTTCGCAGCCTTGTCTATTACATTCGATCTATTAGTAGGGCTGTCGAGAGGAATAGAGCTTATTTACACGATCTTCTGATCCTTTTTTCTGTCATGAGAATTTTAAGTAAGGAAAGAAAGAAAGATACATTTATTACAATGGACGTCACACAAATAGACATAACAGTGGCACATAATTATGGAAGAAAAACAAAAATAAGAGTAAACTGAGCAGCCCACTGCAACGGGATCCCACTCAGCATATGCCGTGGCCCACGGTGACGAAGGCCACGGCCAAGTGAGACTATAGTTATAAGAGGACCTTTTCTGGCAATAGTAGAATCAAGGAAACCGAGATTGCTTCAAATAGGTGGTTCCTGTCAGGAAGACACTGAAAGCTTCCAGTTGTTTCTTCAGGGAACCTTAAAAATGTTCCCGATCTAGATAGAGAAGTGTAAGAATTAATTAGCTACGTGCATACGAGTATGTTACAGTTTTCATTTTAACCTTTTGTTCATACCTACTTAAATTACATCTTTAATACATTCCTACACAACCCTATCCCAAATACTACGAGTCTCGTCCAGACCATAATATTAGAATGGTCTCACGCTGCGCTCAGTTCACGAGTGGCCGAATCTTCGCCGACATCGTAAAAATATAGTAGAGTTATTAAGTAGGTACCTCGTCGAAACTGAGAGTTATGGTTATAATTTGAAGAAGAAATGAAATACATATTAGGGGTCAGGTTTACTGATTCGTGAAAGCATTTCAGATGTTACCTGACATGAAACGTTATCTAATAAATTCCTGATAGCTATCTACCAGATTTTAACTATCCGAGACTAAACAACAAACGAGGCCCTTAAGAGTTGTAGTCTATCTGGTAGATAACTAGCCAATATTAATTATCGGGGAATATCAGTGGTCAAACACTAGTTGATAACGGGTTCCTTACTCTATAGATTGTAGTTGATTCTGGTTCATCGCATTGGAAAGTTTTCTGCGTTCATATTGTAAAGAATAAAATAAATTAATGTGTCATAGGTGGTCATATAACTTGCTACCGCAAATGGGTGACATTTATCGATTGATGCAATCATTTGTTTCATTGAAGATGATTGAATACGGGTTGTATTGAATTCGGCAAGTCCGTTTTTCTGATTGCCAGACTTATTGGCATCGTAAAGCACCACCAACGAGGTTCGTCTCAAAACAATCGACATCACTAAAATATCGATATCTTTATAGTTGTAGAGCTGCATGAGAGTGTATTGTATGGCTGATAAATTGTCCGAAAGTTGACTGACATTTTAACAAAGTTTGATCGTAAGGCGTGGAACCTATTTGGTAGAGTCAAATGGTCAGGGAGTTCATACTGTTCATAGCCATTTTAGCAGTTTATACACGTTTTACTTTTACAGATTCTTCATACTCTACTTAGTTACTATAATTCTATGGGTCATCATTTATATGGTTCTTTGTAGGAAATAAAACGTATGATAGTAAAAGTGAACTTACATTGTGTGTGTAGTGATGCCTCGACGCGGTCCATGTTATACAATTGCTTACTATGATGGCTGCCACTAGCAGCGATCTGCAAAGAAGAAAATACATTTTATTAAAACCTATATTACGGAAGTAAGTAGGTAATAAGGATAGATATAGATAGAACACTCTTGTTCTGTTTTTGCAATGTGCTATACAAGCACATTTATTTCATGAATTATAAAAAAGCACTGCTTTTTCTATTTTTTCAACAAGTCTACTGAAGTTTTTACTTTTTTGGCTGTTAATATCATTTCTTCGAAAATAATTGTGTGATAATTATTATCATACCTACCACGTGACTACATTACGACAGAGTACAGAGCTGTATTATAATATTAACCCATTAATCTCCTCGTCAACACAAACCGAGCCATCCAATTACAAAGCACATCTCGATTGTAATGGTATTATGATAACTGCGCGCGCGCAGGTTGCGTCGGTCACGGCCGGTAATTAGCTCCTCTCTTTGTAATGAGCTGTGTCCCGTGGGACGCTCGGCCCGGGAATTTGTGGGACACGGGACGAAAGGTGGACTTATGCCCGTTTTCACCATCAATCCC